AGAAACATGTAATACAAAAGATCTCATGCCAGGCTTGCACAAAACTACAAACATAAAAAAAATACATTAAACAAAATGAAAACATATGAGAAACAATGAACTTATCTGGTCATAATAAAAGTTCTTTTTATTTACTGTCTCTTATATGTATGTCTTCTTTTCATTTCTCTTTTTAGATTTCTTTTCTCTTTCTTTTTGTATATAAGCATCTCTTTTTAAGGTCTTTTCTCTCTTTTTCCTTTCATCTGGTCTTGAATTTCCCTTGAGGTCTTTCCTCTCTGTCTCCTATCGCATACGTGTCACCTTTAAAGTCTTTTCTCTCTTTCTCCTTTCGTATAAGCATCTCTTTTTAAGGTCTTCTTTCTTTCTTTTCATACGTGTCTCTTTCCGAGGTCTTTTTTTTTCTCTCTCTCTTTTTCCTTTTGTCTAGTCTTAGATTTCCCCTTGAGATCTTTGCTCTCTTTCTCTTTTTGCATACGTTTCTTTTGAGGTCTTTTCTCTCTTTTTGTCTGGTCTAGGGAATTGAGTCAATTGAAGGTGGACTCCCTTTCGCATATCCAAATACTTCTTTCGAATACCCAAATCTATAGCTATCGCAGTCATAGCAGACTCGTCCTTCCAGTCTTAAAGACTGAAGAAGGACTTTTTTTCACATAACCATAACAGGACTATCGCATTTATAACTGACCCATCCATCCAGCGCAAAGGCTTGGATGAGGATACCTTTTCGATGGTTTTTTTTTTCATCATGTGGTCCTTATTTTCAAATATGAACCTTTTTCCTGAATGAGGAAATAAGGTCACTGACCCTTTCTCTCATCTTCAGGGTTACAGAGAGTTTAAGATATTTCACCAGATGGGATCCATCCGGAAAGTCATGTTGTCAACACACGATTAAAAGAAAAAGAAAGTGTACAATCTGGTTAATATTTATCAACATTCAATTCAACCTTATCTCTTTGCTTTTCAATTTTCATGCTTTCTGAGAGTACTGACTTTTTATTTAGAGTGCTTCTAAAATATAAGCATTGATATAGCTTTTATAATAAAGAAAGATGAGGGTTCGTAACAATACATATATATCTGTTGTCCTTTGAGGATTTGGCTTCTGATTGTTTCCAATGGAGGAGTATGTGTATAAAAGGGATTACAACTTTTCAGTCATCAAAGAATGAACATCTAATGTAGTTTTAGGCAGAACACTGCTGTAAACATTCCTGCAGTCTTCGTAAAGGGTGTTGTTCTTTGTCCTATATATAGAATGTTACATGGCTCTAAAGCTGGCAAGTCATTGAAAGCACAAACACAAGGACGACAGAACATATGCTGTTGAACCCTAAAATGTCAAAAACAATGGGGAGAGTTCATCACATGAAGAGAGAAAGTGGAAAACTAAATTCTCAGATTCTTCAACCAAACAATGAAAATGCAAATCTTTTTTTTCACATTAACAGCTGGATTACATTCAATAAACAATGACAAACTGATTTAAATTTCCATAGTTTATTATAAAAAAAAAATAATTGTTCTAATGCTTATGAAATAAAAAGCATCCCAAAAGTCCAAAGATGAAGCATTATCATAAATTCATTATTTAAACGTGTATCCTCATCTTTGTCATTTTGAACACATTTTAGCTGATACATTCTCATGACTTTTTCATGTGGATGTTGCATCCAGCAATCTTTGAGGAGTACACCCAGCTTATTTTTAAAAATAAAAATGGTAAGTTTTCAGATAAAAATGAGAACATATTTCACACGATTAAGAAAATATTAAAGAAAAAATTTTGAAATATTAGAACAAATTTTCTTTAATTTATTTATATATATAAAAAAAAAAAAAATCATTATACACTTTTATGGACAATCATAAAATTGCAAAAAGTAGAACGTTTGCCATTTTGGTCTATTGATATAAAAAGATGATTTTATTTTGTTTCTCAAATTTGTGTTTCATCTATTATTCCTGCACTCTGAATGAGTGAGGAAAATAAAGAAAAGAAGAAAAACATGGTTTACAGTCTTTAGTTGTAGAGCTTTTTTAAAAATATGTTAAAATATTTCTTTTGAAATCTTTAATGGAGAGAAGCAATGAAAGGCAAGGAAAAAGACTAGAAGAATTTTGACATTCTTATTCCAAAAGCACTTCCTCTCTGTAGTATCTCAGGCATCAAGGATCCCTCCTAAAAAGTTCCTGGAGAGAGAGTCAATGCTTGGTAGGAAAAGTGACGACAGACCCTTGGAGCCAAGCACATAGACAAATTTTGGTCACTAACACAACTTCAAGCATTACACCAATCTAAAACAAAAGATTTGGTTTAAACTAGCAAACCAACACCTAAAGGATTCCAAGATTCCATTTTTTGTGCCAGGCTGGTAATGCCAATTTAATTCCCAAATCAAAGAAAGATGTAAATTTTGAGGGCTCATGAGAACTTCATGGTATAAATTTCAATTACAATTTTAGTCAAATTATATTGACAAAACAAACCAACCATGTCTCAGTTTTTATAAGAAAATCTAAGATTTTATTAATGTATTCCAAATACAATAATGTTCCAAATAATTTCTCATGCTGTGAAGAAATGGTAAAAGATGTTGTAAATATCTGCCAATTTCACTAAGGTACTGTCATCACTCATTTATTTTTTTAAAACTATTATTGATTTTATATATATATATGAGATCATAATATATAAATTTTTATATATCAATAACAGTATTGGGGGAAAAAATGTTTGACAAAGTAGAAAAAGGTTTTGTATGACATTTCATCAGAATTTATTGTGACGAAACATGTTGCAAAAACATTTCCCATTTTGTTATACACATATATAATTATCTACATTTTATTATTTTTTCATATTTCATACAATCTTTATTTGCACTATTTATATTGGGATTATTGGTCTCAGCTTTGTTGTCATCACATTTCAGAGGGAATGGCCAAAAACATTGTTATAACAGCAAAGATGAGGACAGTAATCCAAATATAAATAGTGTAAATAAAAGACAACTCCTCAGAACAGAAATTATTCATCTGACTTGTTATTCTCTTCAAATGAATGTTGATGATGGCTTATTTAAAACTGGTAAGGTGCATTCAAAGTCAGAGAACTGATCAATAAAAAAAAATTATTTAGAAAAGATGAGAACAGTTTAAGTTGTTGAATATATTCTTTTAAAAATCAAATATACATTTTAATTCAGTGTTTACAATTTATTAAGTTTCACTTTTGTTTTTGTAAGGCTTCCTGATATTTTTTACCAATTTCCAGAAAATGGCAGACCGCATAAAACAACTAATAAAGTTCTTTACTAGTAATAACAAGTCACTATTTTTATTCTAGTAAAGTTGAAATCAAAAGTAGGATTTTAGTCAGGATGGCATGAAGTGTGCTACTCTCACCTTAGCAGAGAGAAAAAAAAAATGTCAATCCAATAACAAAGCTCTTTAGCAAGTAACTGCAGCAGCTCTACAACAATGGCAAAGCTTGAACATTCGCAAAATAGCAAATCATTGCTTAAAAATAAAACATTATTAATCCATTAACTGCAACAGAAAGGTTTTGAAATTTCCAGATGAACTTTGGCAGTGCAATGATAGAAATGTTTCATCTGCAGTTATTGAGCTAACATATCTCACAAAGTAAATAAGACAATTGTTCAGTTATTGTTGGAGGTTTCTTAATAGCCAATGGTTTATTAAAATAGGTAAAAAGGACATTATAATCGATATGAAATATCTGTTAAATACCAGTTTACACTTGAACACATAATAAAGTTGAATCACTGCAAATATATGTACAGCCACAAGAGAAAAATAACCTAAGGAATGCTCCATAAATGACTTCATATTAAAAAGGACATCATTATCAAAATATTATGAAAAAAAAAACAAAGGTTGACTGTAGCAATCTGATCAGCATAGACCTTTCATGACATTATCAGATTACCTTTGTTTCTCAATTTATATAAAATAGAAAAAAGGATTTTCAAAATACTGACATTAAAATGCTATTTAGAAAACAAGACAGTCCTGCTGCTGCCTTCAAAGTGTTTATAAATAAGGAAATATAATTCTAACTATGAAACTAAACAATTTCATGATTTGTGATTTTTTTCTTGTTCCTTTTTCTATTAAAAATAAGCATATCAGTGATAAAATGTCTGCAGAACAACATCCCAAGGTTGATTTTTAGATTAAATATGAGATTGTGTTGGTTGCTTAAAATAAAAACAAAAATTCCTATTCTTATGAATTTACAGACTTTTATAAACAGATTCTATTCAAATTTTTTTTTTCTTCTATCATCTTGTAGAATTTCCAACAAATACAGAGTCAATAACACCAACACATGTCACATGGACTTAGTTGTAAAAAAGACACACACACCCAAAAAAAAAAAAAAATATCCAACAATCTAGCCAACAAAAACTTGGTGGTGAGGAGAAAAGCAGTAAGTCTTCAATTTGACAGATTGGTAGGTGATATTGGTGAGATTTAGGGTATTGCTGATAGAAAAAAAAAAAAAAAAAAAACTGGCAATCAGTGGAGCAGGAGCAGGTGTTAATATTCAGTGACTTTGGAGATGTCGTGAGGAATAGTCTGACACCCAAGAAATAATGGGTTAGTGACAAAGCCAAACTTAGAATAACTCAGCACCAGAAAGTTGAAGTGGAATCAGCAAACAAACCCACTGTTCCTTGGGGGGAAAAAATAATCAAGTCAGTTTCCCTAAAATCCCAATCAAAAATTAAGTTACAAAGTAAAATCTGTATCAGTCAAACTTTCAGAACATAAAAAAATGATCAATGATTTTACTGAATCTGCACCTTAATGTACTTTGTTAGTTGAGGTCAACACAATGAGAGTTGCTTAGATGAAAGTTGCCAAACATGACAAGTCATTTGTGTTGCATCATTTGGCTAAGTCAATTATTAAACAGCTCAGTGCCAGCCATTTGGCAGATTTTAGCTTTCCATCTTAAGAAGACATCACCTGAGTCCACTTTGGTCATCTGTATGGCAGGAATTAGATGCAGTTTCTGTTGCAGTTTTGGAGGGTGAAGATGATAGGTTTGCTGAGGCATCACATGGTAAGATTAATTTCTCAAAGGCTTCTGTTCTTATAGTCAAGTGGCTACAGATCTCATTAGGGTCAGTAAACATGAATGTGGGGACCTGCAATTGAAAGAACAACATTGGTCATTTTCCTTTTTTTTTTCTTTTTTTTTTTTTTTAAAAAAATCAGTTTTATGTCACTTTTCAGTGAAGGGTTTAGCAATATATTCTCAAATGTTCTTTTATTTTTCTTTTAAAGAAATAAGCAAATTTATATTTCAGATAAAATAATACAAGTTAAAAAAAGACGTTAATTTATAGGGGAAAAAGATTTTCAACATTTTACAGTAATCATTTTCAGAATTTTTATAAAGGGTTAATGTTTTTATTCAAAGCAAATGATCTCATCAATATATTTAATGAAAAGAGTATCCAGCAGATTTTCCCAGTATTTCTTAATCCTTTCCCAACTAAATCATTCAGCGCACTCATCCTCACTGTTCTTTTAATCCTTTCAAAATTAAATCATTTGCTGCACCCTTAAATCCTTTTTGGCTTTTTTTGGGGGGAAAGTATTAATAGAACAACAGGCTATAAATAACATTTTATTTCTGTATTTATTCAAAAAGGATAAATAAAAAAAATTAACAGGCATTCACCTTTATATCAGAGACTTTGTCATCTCTACTGGAGTACTCTCTTAAAATATAATTGGTACCAGCCTGAAAAAAAGACAAAGTCAAAAATCAATCTTTTTTGGCAAGTGAGAGTAAAATTTAAAAAACAAAAAACAAAAAAAAACAAAATAAACTGTTCAGATATTTTTTGCAACATTTGAATTCATTCATATCAATTTGTTTCCAGGTACTCCCAGCACTATGTCGGAATTAACAATAACTATGTGATATCTTATGTCTTTATTAGACATGACATTAAATTACCATCTTGACAGAAGTCTACAAAAAAAAAAAAAAATCTTATCTTTTTTTTTAATAATTTTTATAATTCTTTTTTGCAATCTAGCATAAGATCCAAATCTTACAAAAATACATTCTAACACCTAAGATAAAATTACCCTGAATACAATAATAAACTTAATATTACCCTGATAAAAAAAAAAGAAGCACACATGCTTTTTCACTTACAAAAAAATTGATCAGTTGGATATAACAAGAATGACAGTTATTGGCTCATGCCAGGATCCGAGGTATGTAAGCAGGTAATCCAGCCTTGTGAACTTCATTTTAATGTGTTGAATGCTTTAGTTATAGGCAAGTGACTTTGATAACGGCCAAATTATTTCAGAAAGAAGACAAAGAGCATTTCCATAATGACCTGGGTTATGAATGACTCATATTTCAATCGTGTTGGAGGACTATTGACAAAGATCTGAGGAAAGGGAAAAAATAAAGTCAACAACTGCTGACAAGACATTGGGTAGACAAAACTTATTGACACAATAAATATTAAATTTTCCCTGATAGTGATGAGTTAACAGAAGGGCCACTGTGACACAAATTGCAAATCAAGGAGAAAAAGGGAATGTGTGACAACACACAATACAGCCATCATTGTTGCACATAGGGTTGCATAGCCACTGGCAGTATGATAAAAATAGAGATAAAAACAGTGAGAGATAGGGAGCGGGTGGAGAGAGAGAAAAATATTTTTTGTGCAGGGAGATAAGGAAAATGAAAAGACGAACTGATTACTGTTCTTCCTAAAAAAAAAAAAAAAAAAAAAGTTGAAATCTAAGGGAGACAATCCTGTTTACTCTTATGGTGAAAAGCCTGATGCAATAATAATAATAATTTGAGTATCATGGTTGCTTCCCTTTCACTTGTCTCTTCTTGACATCATCGCAGAGTCAAGGAATGGCACAAAAGTTAGCTCTTCTGCCGAGAATTTGAAAATAATATTAGGTCGAGTTTTAGCTGACCATCGTCCCAGACATTACCTATCCTTCGAGAGTGGGTTAGCGTCATTACCTGGCGCCTGAGGCGTCCTCAAAATGGGGGAGTGTCGAGGAGGTCTGAGCAATTTTTCTACAGTACTGCTGAAAAACCCACATTAAACTTTGACAATGTGTCACATTATGTTTCAACATGGGCAAGCGGATAAATACTGGCTCATAGCAGATTTCTTTTAATTTACTATCTGTGAATTGCCATGAATTCTTAAGATAGTGGAGTGGTTTCCCATTGCTTTCTCCACGTTTTGGAATTTAGAGTAGTCCTTTTCTTAGACTAGCTGCCACCCAATGCTAAACTCCAGTGTAACATGCTACCTTAGCCCATGGGTGGGGCAAGAGAAAGGTATATGTGCAATAAATGGTCCAGGATAGGCTGGAATTTGAATTCATTTCACTGATTTCAGCTCTGAAGCTGATAACCGCTACTCTGCCCAGACATTCAATTCCACTCCAGTACTATAAATGGTTAATGTCACTGGGTTAGAATCCTTGAATATTGCAATTTGTACCAATCATCAAACACACACACAAAATCAGAGCATTTGAAAAGTGTTCAGAAAGCCCCTCAATAAAATATATCACTCATAGAAAAAGAAAGATATCAGTTCTTACCTCATGATATACTCTGGTATCATTGACACGAATCATTACGTTATCAACACGCATAAAAAAACGCAGCAAAATAAATAATCCCGAGGGCATTACACGCTGAAAGTAATCAGAATACAACAGCTTAATAACAATTATGTGCTATAAAGTCTTTCAGAAATAACTTATTCTAAAATATCTTTATTATTATTATTATCAATGTCTTTTGTTCCAGGTACGACATTTTGGCTACTGCATGTATCTTCCTTTCTTAAGTGCCTGTCACATTTGATAATTTTCAAAGAGTCCTACATAAAATCCCTTATTTTTTTTTTTTTGCTAATTTTCATGATCCAATTAGAAGCATTTGCAAATCTGAGAAACAAAGAATGTCACATTAAAAAATAAATCTTTAAAACTAAGAAATTCAAAACTCTTTGAAGAGTACCAGATGCAACATATGTATATCTTCTCCCACTTCTGTAAAAATGTCAGAGTGAAGCCAGGAAAATCCTACCACATTGGTTCTTGATAACAAATGAAGTTGTCAAAAGAACAAAACTTCAGAGTTTACCCACAACTGTGATCCTGATGTACAATATCTTTGAAAATTGGGAAAATGGCATAATTAAATTGACAGACCTTATCAGTTGAATTTAACAAAATTTATTGGGATGAAGTCTTGCTGCCTAAATATACACACACACACAGGCGTATTAGGTAACCAAAAATAGATTTGTCCATTTTTTTAAATTATTAACACAGAAAAACTTAGAAATAAAAATTAATTCAGAAAAATCATCTTTATGTAGATGAAAGTGATAATGTCTAGCAGAGACCTCTTTTCTCATCTCATGACAATATTCAATTCAAAACTGGTGCCATTCTTTAAGTCTTCACACTTAAAGAATAACAAAAGTCAGAATTTTTTTTTAAAATGACTGCTTTGTTCAGAGTTTATAGTGTACCTATTTCCCTAATATGCTTCAAATTTTGTAGTTTGCATTTTACTTATGCTAAAGTTGTGTTAAAACTTTTCATCAAGGTTATGTGGTAGTAAATAGTAAAGTGACATTTCATCTAAATTTTTAAAGATCATAGTTGACAAGAGTGCAGGAAGCCAGAAGAGAGTCTAGCAAGCAAGAAGTGTGAGAGAAGAAACTATTAACCTAGAACTTATGGTTACAACTAGCAAAATCAACAATTAAATTATGAGACCAAACTGCCACTTAAACTTACAATGTCTGTCAGCTTGGAATCCACTCTTTAGTCATTGTTCCTTTTTCCAGTAAAAATGTTTGATTACCAAATACAACAGAAATCAAAAGAAGACTTGAGACTAAAAACAAATGAAGATATTGGGTCAAATATTTCATGATATCACTGCTCATTATCATTACTACTACTCTAAAAATATTCGTTTATAACAGCAAGTGAATGTCAAAAGTAAATTCATTAAGGAATAATTTAGTTAATATGCATGGTTATATAAAAAAGGCATATTTATTTTCCTTTGAAAATATTGTTCAGATTTATTTATTTCCAGCTCATTATTTTTATATCATACTAGGTATACTAAACTAAAATTTTATTTTCAATACATCTAAAAACCTTTACTACAGGCATAGAGATTTTGACAAAGCATTAAAAAAAAATGGTACTAAAGTCATTTGGTAGCTCAATTACCAACAAATTATGACCAATCAAAATTTGATGATGCCAGCTTCAGACTAATTAAAGATCATTATAAATGTAAAGTCATATAGTTTATTGTAACAGAGAATCAGGTCAGCCTGATAAAAGTTGGTTGTATGTGATGCCGTAAGCACCAAGAGTTGCATTCTTTTCCACAATGGGCTGTCGAGACAAGACCTTCTACTTAAAGTAGATGGGACTGACTATTTGCATATGAATGATACTGGCCAGATATTAGCCAATAGTCAGCATGGGTCTAGGACTGGGAGAGCTATATAACACCAGTTTTTTTTTTTTTTTACTCAATCAAGAAAGTTGATCTCAATGTGCGGACGTGTGAAAACCATACAAGACGAACACAGTTATCTTAAAGTAAAAGAAATATAATACTAATAGAATCAATAATTATTAGATCAGACCAGCCTAAAGTTTGGGAAAATTACATTCTTAAAAACAAAATAATTAAAACATGAAACAGAAGGGCCCTTTTGACTGTTCATATAAGTTTCATTTCAACAGTTAATGTCTTGCAACTTCTTGCTATGATTCATAGCACAATAGAGATAAAAATCTATTCTTTTTCAGTAATACATCAATAAAAAAAATCATATTTAAACCATGTAAAAACAGCCAGAAGTGGAATTTGACAGTAGGACTAAAACTGGTCAAAAGTATGCCATAAAAAAGTATCCATTGTAAGTACATGCTTGAAACTTTGAAACTATGTTAATTTGAGGATGGGGGATTCAATAAAACAGTTCTTTCACTGTAATATAAATATCTTTTGTCATAGATGTATCTAATTTTTGAAAAGTTTGTGAAATTATGTAATTTTTAACTGGTTAAAAAGGAATAGTAATGACTGCAAAAGTTAGAAATTTATTTCATGAAATGAATCATTGGTCAATCCTTCAAACAAATGTTAAACTTTAACTTTAAATGAATAAAAATACATTTATTGGAACTGAAAAAGACCATTCTTGATAGGTTGAATGGTCCTCCTGCATTTCCACTTTTAATGGTGATTTGCAGTCTGAATTTGTGTATAAGCCTCTGCCATAGCTAATACTCGCAGTAGAGCCCGGCGTTGCCCAGGAATATAACAGTAAGAGATAGATCAAGTATCCACCATCATAAAGACTAAAAAATAAAATTGACAAAGATTATTGTTTAAGGTTGACGGACACGCATGTCTTAATTAGTTTTTTTGTTTTTTTTAACGAATTGGTCAAACCCAAACAAAAACATTGTTTTCAATCGTTATGAGTCTACTGATTGAATAGAATTTTATTATAAACAATTGTCGTGTAAATGGAATTTTTAAAGCATTCTGAATGTAAAAATAAAGAAAAAAGTGTGCAAGACAATAAGAAACACTACATGCCAAAAAAAAAGTGAAGTTTTGTTGAAACCGGTTGAAAAATGTAGGTAGCCTTTCTGTAATCTTTTAGTTTTACAATTTATGATTTTTACTTATTGAATACAGTAAAAAAAATTGGATATTTTGCTTGTGGTGATTCATAATTAGAATTCTGATTTGAATATATTTTCCACTCGTTTCTAATACAAAAAATATTAACTTTATTTGGGTTTATTAATTATGATCTAACAAATCTTATTCATTTAGTAGCCTTCTCTGTAATATATAATAATCTTTTACAATTTATGATCTTTACTTATTGAATACACTATTGTTTAAGGTTGACGGACACGCATGTCCTAATCAGTTTTTATTTTTTTTTTTATTTTTTATGAATTGGTCAAACTCAAACAAAAACATTGTTTTCAATGAGTCTACTGATTGAATAGAATTTTATTATAAATAATTGTCTTGTAAATGGAATTTTTAAAGCATTCTGAATGTAAAAATAAAGAAAAAAGTGTGCAAGACAATAAGAAACACTACATGCCAAAAAAAAAAAGTGAAGTTTTGTTGAAACCGGTTGAAAAATATAGGAAATCCGCTCCCATATTTAAAGTAACCCACACACACACAAACAACCCGATGTGAGCTGTCCCCCTTCCATTTTCACGATGTCTCTTAATCGTGTTTTCAAATTGATTTTGTGCAAAAACAATTATATTTTTCCTATTTTGGGCGCTGTTAGAACCACCACAAGGTAATTTTATGTAGTCCTGTGAAGTTTTGTTAAAATCGGTTGAAAAATGTAGGAAATCCGATCCAATATATAAACGTTACAGACACACACACACACACACAATCTGCGTTTTATAATAAGTAAGATTCCTGGAATGCTCCATATCCTATCTCTTAAAAGTGGTATTATATTTCTAAGTCCCATCTAAAGACAAATGTTGACATCACTTGTGCAATATCACCCAACAAAACCCATCAAAAATAATCCTTTCTGCCTTTTGGTTGGAATTAAAATTTTCATTACATCATTAGACAGAGATATTTACATCAATGACTTGGTCAATGTAATAATTGTAGTAATAGTATTTTGCAATCTATTAGTCTTGGTGCTTGTAACTGAAGGTCATTTGAATTGGTTCTTCTACATAACTAATGCTAGAGTTGTTTGAATAATCAGATTCATTGAGTTTATTTCTTCCTTCCTTTAATCACTGTAATGTCTATTCTTTTCATCACTATTTTTATCAGCATACATTGCAAGGAATTTGGGGTCTTCTTCAGCCTGCTTCTCCTACTTAGAAGAAAACTACTTCTCAGGCCATAGAGTCCATCATCCATTGAACAGCAGATTAAATGTAAATTTTATTAAACATCTCTAAACAAATACCAGCTTAAATAAATGTTATGCTTATTACCTTCTATAATGGCTTAAGGAAATTAAAATAATTACAAAAAAGACAAAATGTGATTGTAAAAGTTGAAGAACTATAGAATGATCTTTTTTGGTTTTTTAAGAAAATGTAAAAATTTTATTTAACTTTGTAAATTATTAAAAAGGGAAACTGATTACATTTTGAAAATTAACTCTGAATTACATTTCAATTTTTTATGGACCCATGTGTCAAAGTTAAACTAAAATATATATCCAGTTCATTTTTATAAAATGCATCAAATTTCGATTTTTTTTTTTTTGTAAATGAAATGCAAATAAATTTTCAATTTAATCTTCAAATCCTGGCAATTAGAGAAAATATTGCTAGCCATGAATGTAAATGAAATGAATGACCATTAAAAGGAAAACTGGACACTTTTTTAAACTTGATTTTAATTTTTTATGGACAAATGAGAGTGTGAAATTTAAAGAACTAAGAAACTATCCAGTTTATATATTTGTTTTTCTGTCCAATGTTTTCTTAGGAAAGTGCATAAAAACAACAGCTGAGGTGAAAGTTATTTGAGTGTGACAGTTTGAACAAAATACAATGAATAAGTACTTTATATAGTTTTAAAATGCATCATTAAAGAAAATATAAGGAAAAGATTTAAACTGTGAATAAGCCATCGATGAAACAGGTCCAATTTAAAATGGGATTCAGCTGGCAATATTCATTCACTCACTTACACATACAAATTTTGATATGTAGGACCTTACAGTTTTACAAAGGGCAAAGATATATAAAACCAACTGATTATTAAGGATAAGACATTGCTCTACAAGAATGTATAATTTTCATTTTTTTTTTTTTTTAAGTGTTGAATTTCTCTGGTATTTCATTCACTAAAGTTTTCAACTTGAATTTTTTTTGTGAAAGAACTTCAAAATCTTAACTTACACCCACCAAATTGACAAGCGTCATTTTTTTCTTTAAAATGGAACTATTTTGCTATGCATAGGGAGACACACACTAGTAATATTAGTGGTAGTAATCTTGAATTTTATTTTCATCATTTGACAAATAGAGATGAAAAATAAAGCCACTTTTGTATTAAGACAGGTTTCCAAGAAGGGAAAATTCCAGTCTTGCCCAGAGTTTATCTATCATTCCTAATCTATACTATTTTTGATTGATTTTTTTTTTGTTTTCTTTTTTACAGCTTATTAATCTTTTGCAGGTTATTTAAAACCAGAAAATATTTTTACGTTGTAAAATTCTTTTTGGAGATGATAATGATTTAGTGATACTAATTAACCTAGAGCTGGAGGAAGAAGTGAATTCATACCTTTCCCAGTGGTAATTGCATGTAAGTGAATATAACGAACCTAACAGGAATTGGAACTTGGCTCTCCGATTAACAATTTTGGGTCATTTTCCATTACACCACCCACACATCCAACTTTAAAACACCTGGTATTCCCAAGTTGTCACCCATCTAGGTACTATCCAAGCTCAACATTGCTTAACTTGGAACTAGTGTTTCAACATGATGTGACCGTAAGGCTAATCTATACAGTTGACTGAGGATCTAAGTAATTACAATAAAAAGCAACCCCAATTGAGACGAAAGAAATACTTATCAAAAATTAATAATAACTTACAAGCTTCATCTAATAATAAAATTCAAAATTCTTTTGAAATTTTGCAAATATATTTTTCTATCATAAACCTAAAGTATATTTTAGGAACAAAGAAGAGTTGTCAAACAAAACAATATTTCCTTTACTTGTTAGCAAATTAAACAGGTTAGTTTTCTCTAATATCATTTTCGAAAACAAATATCCTATTATAATTGCTCTTGCCCCTCCCTTTGTTAGTACAACTGTTACATCCTGGCAATATCTCATAAATAATGGACTATTCCAGGTTTTAATCACATGCAAAGAGAGAAAAAGACATTACTTGGTTTCAGTGAAAAAACAATGAAAAAAAAAGAAGGGAAGATAGAAGTGGAGAGAGAGAGAGAGAAAATCAGACTAAACTGATAACAGATACTACACTTGGATCTCAGCCAAAAGTCTGAGAAGCTATGGTGACTGTAATAAATGCACCATTTTTCAAATGGACAGTGTCAAATGATGAAAACCAGAGTAAGGCAATTGCCAAAATAAACAGTTACCATAAATAAAATAACATTGTCTGCTGAATTATTTTTTTAATTATTATTAAGAGAAATGATCGTAAAATGGGGATTTGGCTAGAAATAAATAAAACATAAAAGTGTCTCCTGCCAATACCTCATAAATAATGCACTATTCTGTTTTGATCACAGGGAAAGAGTGGAAAAGACAACTTGATTCCAGAGAGAGAGAGAGAGAGAGAGAGAGAGAGAGAAAGAAAGAGAGATAAACAAAGAAAGAAATAAGGAAAGAAAGAAGTGTTGTTAAATGTTTCGATGAAATGAAAAAGTCAATTTCAGATCTTTTCATTTGTATCCACTTCTTAAGAGAACGACCAGCATTTATATCGATGATTGTTATTGCAATATTTTGTCAAAGTCATTAAGCTCAAATATTGAATGATGTGATATAGGAATTTCTACCGATATTTTATTGTTGTAGAACTCACCATGAACTTATTCAATCATTAACTTAAGAATTAAGAATTATGATTCATCAGAAAATTTAATTAGGAAAACTGAAATTTTCAGGAGTCTTTAGAGTACAAATTATTTTCCATGAAAAGCAAAATGATTTCTGACTGAATAAATCAGTGGAGTTATATTAAAGAAATTGGAGCTAGGCTGAATTTTATTACAAAGAAAATTTTAATAACTAAATTTAATTAATACAAAGTTTTATTGAAATTCATTGTACAGGGATACAAAATTAAACTTTATTCATTGTTATATTTTTAACGACTGAACATTTTTTTCAAAGCATAAATATCTATTTCTGTATATTGAACACAATTCTTACATCAGAAATTCTTTCATTTTTCTTCTTTATAATGACATAAGATTTATAAACTCTATATACACAAAGCACATCTTTTCCTTTCCTTCCAAATGTTATCTTCTATCTTCTATGAACAATAACAATTTAGTAATCAAAATTTAACAACATATTAAATGGTTTAGGAGTTTCTTCTTTTCTTATGATTTTTGCAATTTTTTTTCTGTACCTCATTTTGGCTTTCTTCCTGCAAAATTCCATCCAATGCAGTTTTTGTTGCAAATGATAAGTGAAGGACATAGAGACAAACATGGAGTTTAAAAAAAAAAAAAAAAAGATGTCATGAACAGATAAAAAAAGATTTGGCAAATTCAGAGAATGTAAACTATAGAAAATAGTATTTGAATTTTGAAGAAAATCAAAAAGAAAATTTTAGACTCACAATTTTGACATTCATCATGGAAGTGCCATTATCTGCAAGTTCATCCTCAAAGAGAAGAATATCCTGGTAAAATAAAATTTTCTCGCGTTTCTTCAGTTTTTCCAAGTCAATCCGATCGGTTGTTGGAACTATCTGAAAAAATTTCATGCAATCTTCAGTGTTAAAAACAGTTTTTCTGACAATTACTAAAAATCCTAACTTATGGCTGATGAATTATTCTCCACCTTTCAAACCCTTTCCCACTGCTAAGCCTCTCGCTGTTCTACCGCTACTTTCATGGGAAGTGCATGGATGAAATACATTCCCTGGTCCTGCCAAGACAAACCTTCACAGCAAGAACACTCCATGTCACTTACATAGTAGCAAACCCCACCCACATTCCCTCCATATTCCATTCGTAAGAAGTTCCACTTGAGCAACTTCTTCCCACAAGCCACTGCCTTGTGGAACTGACTCCCAAGAGGATACTTCCCTTGATCACTACAATCTTAACCTATTCAAGGCTAGAGTTAATCATTATCTCCCACAAGTGACCAACTGACCTTTTGAAGGGTGACCTCACTGAAAGAAAAAAAAAAAGTCTCCAAATGAGGAATTCCTTCTCAAAATACTAAAGCAACAGAAATAAATGTAAAAGTATGAGAGAAAATAAGAGAAAGAAAGACAAAGAAATGGATCAAAAATTGAAAGACATAACTTTTTATGGTTAGAGGACATGAACAATTCTAATGTGAAATTTTCTATTAATTAGATCAAAACAAAATAATGAAAGAGGAAAGTGACAAAATGGGATCTTGATCGATAAACTGAGTGACATTACACAATGAACAAGAGAGAAACTAACACTAAGGCGAAATTTCAGTAAACTTAATGCCTAAAGATTAAATCCACTTTGGCAGGAAGGGAGACAAGCCTGCTGCTGCTACCACTGCTTAGAAAACAGCCATAAAAATGAGGAGTGGAAGTTTAATATCTTCAGAAATTTGTTAGCTTAGGATGGTGAGTTCAATCCTTGGTAGGACCACAATAGTCAGCAGTAGTTAAAGAGTATAAGAATTAATCACAGAATGACATATTTAGAAAATAAAATTCATAATTACAATATTAAAATTAGAGATACTGCCCCTAACACATTTGAAAAATTGTTAGGCTTGGTTTATTTTGTTTTATAGCATATCAACTTCAATGGGTTACTTAATACTGACAAAGATTTTTAGGATAGGTTTGTATGAAATCAGTTTGTAAATCAGGTTTCACTGACATATTTTTTCTCTCTTTGGTTAAAATTTCTTTTATTTCACAACTGATTTCTACAATGATAATACAAATATAACATAGAAAAATGTGTGTGTGTGTATATGTATAGAATCTATACACCATGTGTATTTCTATATTTTTCTCTATAAATATTTGGTTGTACTGTTATCACCCTTGCACAGGTGACACCAGGTGACAGTGTCTTTGTTATGGCAATGGTAGACTGCTGAAATATGTTTATGAAACTGGGAGATGGATTGGGGTTAACCCTGCTGAGAATAATAATAATTTGCAAAAAGAATCAAAAGGTGGAAATGTTCTAATAATATGAAGAACTTGATAAAATATGCTGTCAATTTTCATGGAAAGAGTAAACTAGTATTAATATAAGATTCTATTGAACATAAAGGAGGAATTCAATTTTCTATTATTATTAGTAAGTAATAAACTGATTGTCTCCAGAATTATTCACAAGTAATGTACTAATTAACAAAATTACATTTAATGACTAAGACTTCACAGTTTAATTTTGACAACATGAGTAAAATAAATAACAAATTAAAGTACTATAACTACATAGGCCAACATATAAATACTAATCCAAGAACATGTTAGCCATAAGTAGAACTTTCAGTATGTCTAACAATTTGATATTGAGCTCATGTCAAGATAAACTTAGCAAATATCTATGTTTAATACTTAAACAAAAAGGAAATAAATTATAGTTTCACATTCATCTGAGCTGAAAATGGAAATGACTTAAAGTTTTCCAAGATAGCTCTTATTTACAGAAAACCAAACTTTTAATCGCTCTTGTATCCTCTAATAGGCACCCATTGTGTACTGACCAGATTTAACATTTAAATTTATCAGCAGAAGAACAAGAATGGAATATGTACTTACATTTATGGTATGCTGTTCATCTTTTGCAAAGACAGTTCCTTTGTAGTCTGTAGTAAACGTCCAATCAAAAGGCTTCAAAACTTGTTTAATATATTCACAATTGGCACTGAAGAGGAACATGAACATTTTCGATTTAAAAAATTCAAGAAAAGTAAACTGAAAAATATGTGTATTTTTTCAAATGTATTTCTCGTTTTTAAATTTAAACATTTCAATAAAATTTCTGTTTGCTATTTTAAGATCAAAAAATAAAATAGTCACTCTCGGTATTTGTAAGGAGGAAAGCTCTAGTGCTGACATCGCGTGAAACATTAATTTGTATTAAGCAGTTTTGATATAAGGGAAATAACTCTGTAAATTAACTACAAGCATCGCTCCTTTTAAAATATTTTTTCCTCTGCCTTACTTCAGGTTTTGGCAACCTGGGCGATGAGCAACTGAACAGAAATCGGATTTTGAGTATTGAAAAGGTATTTCAACATATGCTACCGGATAAAAAAAATATTCAAAGTGGATATGCAAAGAACATGTATAAAGAAAAAAACAAGCTGGAGACTACAGGAGAGTAACTGGGTCATATTCCGAGAGAAGATATAAATATCCGGGCAAACAGGGAATATTTTGGCATTTCCTATAGTTTTGAGAAAAGTTAACATTTGAATAGTTCTTCAGACGAAATAACTTCTTTTTTTTCTCTTTTTTTTTTTGTATATAAATCAAGTAAGGGAAGATCAAAAACAATTTTACTAGTAAAATTAAGAAGTGACCTCAGTTTAATTTTTATTTAATATAAAATTGTTTTTACTTTTTTTTAATCACATTGGCCATCTCGAATTTATCAAGGGAGGAAAAGTGCCTGTCAAAGCATAATTTACCCATTCACTGTATGTTTTTGAATATTTGCTATACAGGTGGTTGGGGGAGAATTTTTCCATGTAAAAGTGGTAATGGCACCAAAAAATTTTGGTAACCCCCTGATGTATTGGGTGAAACTTTTCTCAGAAAAATACATTAGTTTTCTTTCACATTGACTTATCAGTATCTTTGCAAAGTCAGATAAACATACTGTTATGTCGGATTTTGCAATATTATTTTTGTGAATACATAGAATAACAGACAAGAAATAGGTTTTCGTTTTTTCTCCTTCTTTTAGTGTTGGGTATTTTTCTTTTTTCCAAACAATCATCGTGTTAGCATTTGCTGCAGGTATTGGAGGATGCTGTTAATTGTACTGCTTGAGAGAGAGAGAGAGAGAGAGAGAGAGAGAGAGAGAGAGAGAAAGCTATTCTGAAGTCAATTTTCATATTTATAAAGCTGCATTGTTGACAAAATAAAAAAAAAAGTCTTCAAACATTTATCCATGCAACCCTTTTAATAATTATTGGGACATTATATGATAAATAAGAAATAAGAAACACTTAGCAATCTAACATGTTTCACTTTTATTAGTTTGGTCAGAGATTGAGAGAAAACAGACACAGACAGAACTTTGGTATTTTTAACTTTGTTTAGATTGATTCTCATTGGTCAGTCATGTATTAAAATCATAGATAATCTATATGTACGTAAGTGATGTAATGGAATATGCATACACCTGTGTTCCCCCTCACTGGAATATGATTGGCTGGTGTCCATCATAAATACCAACGGACATGTAGGTATGACAGAGTGAAAGCCTTAGTCTGAGAGCTAAGTCTATAATGACACCCATTGGACTACGCTATTGATCTACACTTCTTACCTGCGACTACGATGCGTACCAGTCAATTACTGCTACCGTATTCTACTTGGTTATAGTAGCCCAAAACCACTTAGCTACTTCGTTCAAATATATTCCTTTCCGGGACATATCAGTAAGTTTGTAAAAGTTCTATAAGTGGTCATCGAATGATGATGTGTATTCGTAATTGTGTATGTGTGTCTGTCTAATAGGTGTTCTAATGTTTTCACTTTTATGTGGTCAGTTGGCTTGTAGGATGGTATTCTATTAATCTGGGGCTGTTTTTATGTATCACATAAAATACATCACATGATCTAAAACCTGCATCTACAAACACAATATGAGATTTATGCTTGGATAAACTTTCAAACTCTCTCATATTACACAAGAACAGTAGTGGCCATAACTTTGAATTTATTAATGTCACCCTAATTAAAAAAAGAACATAATTCTTTAAGGAGAAAAGTACTGTGAAAGCCTAATAATAACAATATTATTATCAACAATAAACACTTTACATTACATTGTCATCCTTCTTTGAACCCATTTGTAAAGAATCTAACTTATGTTTCACTAATAACAGTGTAATGGGTGGTGAGTAGAAGGCTGTACCAGGTTATACTCAGTTACAAGACACATTGCCCAGTATATAAAAATTTTGGTTGAGTAATCCAAAAACTTGAAGAGTCGAGTTACTAAAGGTTTGGTTTGTTTTTAACGGCATATCAACCTCAATGGGTTATTTAATGCAGACAAAATTTTTATTGCTAGTAATATTTTTTTCCCAAAATTTATTACTGGTAATAATTTTTTTTACGAAAAAGTATTTCTGTTATTAAAACTTATTTTTATACTTTCATAGTGTTTTGAGCCCATTTGGGGGGGGGGGGGGTAACTATTTGCCCATAGCTAGGACCCTGACAGGTGTTACCACCCTGGGTCAGGGTGGACCTGGGACCACCACCAATTAAGAGGTGGTTCTACGCTCTTCAAAACCTCCTGATCAGAGGCCTTACTGTTGGATGTAGTTTATGGTGTTACCCAGGATGAGGATGTCATACTGAGGACAAAGTTACTAAAGGGAATTAACTGAAACTGAGAGATCCAAAAAGGGTTCAGTTCAAAATTCCAATGTATATTACCTGAAAAAAGTCAGAGCATACAATGGCCGAAACATTGTGAATATGGCAATAAAGATGAGAACAACTGTCTGAATGATGTAAATAGTTACAATACCGCATCTCAGAAATACAGACAGATATTAAGTGATGTCCTTAATTAATTTTGTTAGATGTATGCATGGCATAAAACTCATCCAGAATTGTCTAATATATATATATATATATATATATATATATATATATATATATATATATATATATAATTTTTTCTAAGATCAATGAGTAAAAATGGCTTCAGATAAATAAATCCAATACATCTTAAAGGAGACAATCATTCAGAATTACAAAGAATTTTACCAAATAACAAAAACCACATCACTTGAAGCCTTCTAGCAGCAACAACAACAAAAATAGATAGTACATTTAACTAGAAGAGAAAATAATAATATAATCAAGATGTTAACTTTACACACAACCTTAAACAAAAGGTTTGAAAGGAAAATGTCTTATTATAAAGTGATTGTGACATGAAATGACTGTGTAAGTTGGGGCATTTACAGCTATTGTCTAAGAGTTGTAATTGTTATCTAGGCTCCATTTCATGATAGTTAACTGAATGTTGAAAATGGTTTTTAAACAATAGGAAACATACCGTGCGTTTTTCCAGGCATCAGAAACTGCAACCTGAAGAGGATCATTCTCGGAATCAACTCTTTTTAGTGCATCTAAAGCATTGAATTCAATTCCATAACCATTTTTATGTTGAAGACGCAAGAGATTTTCAGCAAAAACCATTTCAGGCAACTGAGGCAGCTGCAAGACATTATCAAATCTGGAATAAAAAATAAAAAAGAATGAATGAATGTCACTCACAAAACACCCTGCCTCTTAATACTCAGCCAACCACGGTCCTGATTTGGGGTTTTCATCAAATGGATAAGTGTAGTTAATAAATGCTCAATAAGAAGCACTTGGATTGCTCATTTCTTCACATTGAGTTTATTTTTGCTTCAGCATCTATCGGTTACACTGGGATTCTTGCATTTTATTTTGCTTTCCTTCCTCTTCAAAGTTGAATGGGATAATCTAAGAATAAGAGAAACAGTTGGCTTTTTGCTACTACAACTCTACAGTATTTTCATATGAACACATTATGAGATGGATGGTGACTAGCATTCATTGCACATAGATCCCCAAGAAGGATTGACAGCATTTAATGAACACATGTAGAAAGTCCCACTTTTATGACATAGAACCATGGAAAAATATCAGAGAAGACTTGATTGCATTTAATGATTATTGGAAATAAATTTGGAAAAAGAACTAAGAAAACTTAATTAGTTTCAAGATATTAGACGTGTTGAGGAGTCCTTAAAGAATCATACTTGAATAATAACTTGAAGATAACTTAGTCACTGAATATAACTTGGCACAGCCCTGTACTCACCATCCACTACATTTGCCAAGCAATAATGATGACAAATAACAGACTGTTCTACCAGATTTCAAAAAACTAAAATCAGTTGGCCATGTGACTCATTTACATAAATACATTGAAGATTATTTTGAAAGAAGACTTTTCTGAGAAGTTATCAAAACTGTCAAGTGGCTAGCTGGCCATGTGAAGAAAGGAGAACCTTATAGAAAATTAATAGTCAAATTGTACCAATACACCATTGGTGGCAAATCAGCAGATTGAACTTTATATATATGTACAGGTGCATGGCACATTTTAGGGAGTTCCACTAGAGAGAAGATATATGGAAAATGCAGATTGCAGTACCAGCTTTAAAAACAGACCACCAGATGACCTCTGAACAGACACATAAAACTGTTGTTCTTAGTTTTGAACAAGTGATTCAAATTTCAAACTACCGAGTGTTGCTGTCAAGCATTGGAATTAGGAAAAAAGATAACACCAGATTGAAATGCTTATGTTACCTATTTTATTAAAATATTTTTTATTAGTCTTCTTTTCATCATTAATTGAATACTTTGATTAATCCTAGGAATCTGTCAACTTTTTTTGTATGAGATTGGGATTTCTTCATATCTAAACATGTTAGTGAAAAAGACTCTTGCCAAGGACATTATTAAACAAATGATTGACAAAACTGGTTGATATTCTTGTCTATGGTGATACAACTATGCCAGAAATTAAATGCAGCAAAGCAGCACCAAAATGCACACATCAAACCTCCATTAGGGTACAGTTATATTTGGTACTGGGATCAAGTATTCTTGACCTGAGCTTACTACAAAAAGACAGTATTTTGTGCCACATTTAGTGACTGGAACAATGAGTCCATTCCTGGCACTCTTTTACACAAGTACAATATCTGATAAATCATGCACATTCTGCTGCTACAACTGTAAAAGACTAAAGTGATAAAAGCATAATGTAGCTGATTAACAAGAAAACTGTTAATTTTACATCCTGACTCTTTTGCCTCTGCTTCTATCACTGGACAAGATGGGCTAATGGAGTTGAATTTCAGTGTAAGAAATCACACCTTTGGGCTTCAGGTGCTCTCACCTAAAGAGGTGTAACAGTGATTGCTGGAATTTGCAAGAAGCTGTGGTCATATAGAAAATCTAGACAAAATAATTTATCATCAAATTAGGGGAATTCCCAATTCCTAATGTCATGGTGGACTTTGATAAATTATCAAGAAATTTTAACATATTCAATTTTCAAACTTGACAGGCATCTGATTTCTTAGTTCTTGGCCATTATGTGTCATTAATTCTCTATTTTCATAAGTCTTTTTTTAATCATTTCACTCCAACCAAGGTAATAATGCCACTATACAAAGGGTTACCAAGTGTAAGAGAATATGAGAAAAAGCTAACATTAAGGAGAGAAAACAATAAAAGAATAGAAATTAAGAAAATAGAAGATAATGAATGACATTATATTTAAATTTTGAAATTCAAAGTTGACTTGAAAGCAAGAAGCCAGAAGGAAGTTCCACAAGTGAAAAGTGCGAGAAAAGAAACTGTTAGCATAGAACTTACAGGGACATCTGGTAATTTCAACTGTGAAATGATGAGACCTTGCTGCTGATCTAATATTGTGCTTAAATGCATAAAGTCTAAGTACTAAAGAGGAAAGCTCATCAAAGCAATTGCCATGAAAATATTTATAGAAAAAGCAAAGGGAAATTATGGTGGAAGCCGAGATGACAGATCAGGACCAATGACATTGCAGATTTTTCTTTGTATTTTATCTAGAATCTCTAAATTTATAACAGAAACACCAATGTGCAGCAATATTCAATGTATGGATGAATGGTAGACTTATAAATATGTAAGATTATGGCAAGAAAATCAGTTTAGCACAGCCCAGTGAACCAAATTTCCTACCAGTAAACCTATATTCTAATATATTTCAAAACTCCTGTGCCAGATTCCCTTTGTTATTTTTTTTCTTTAATTTTTTTGCCAATAGAATGCCTCATTTCCTTCCATATCTTGATTCCAAACTCACATTACCTATATACTTGATTGGTGTTCCAGTCTCACTCACTCTTGTCTCAGGAGATAAGCTCTCTTCAGTGGCAATTTCTCTGAAAGAGGCATTCAATTTTAATTCTTTCAATCAATCTGAAGCAATGTAACAAAAAAAAAAACAAAAACAAACACTTACCGTTCTCTGTCAGCACCTTCTGATTGTAGTATATGACTCTCTACAGCAGTTAGAGTCCAGCCACCAAACTCAAAGACTTGTCTCTTGGCCTTTGGTTTTGGAATGGTCTCAGCCATTCTAACTGCAAAAAAATTAAAATTCATTCAGAAACAGAAATTAACAGAAAGAGTGAAGTTAACACCTACCAGCCTATATCCTCAAATTAAAAGATTAACTAATTAAAAACCCACTAACTGCTTAAATTACTTTGCTACATGTATGAAAATATAAGCAGATAGAGATTTTTTTTTTTTAATCCTTTCACCCCAAGCAAGGCAATAAAGTCACTAGGATGCAAGGGGTTACAGCATGTGAGCGAATAAGAGAAAAACTACTATTAAAGAGAAAGGACGATAAAAGAATAAAAATTAAAACAGAAGATAATGACTGACATTGTATTTAAATTTTTGAAAATCAAAGTTGAAGAAGCTGGAAAAGAGTTCCAAGAGCAAGAAGTGCGATAGAAGAAACTGTTAGCATAGAACTTGTGGTTACATCTCTTGCCATTTTAATCGTAAAATGATGAGGCCTTGCCAACTGCACTTAAATTTATAAGGTCTAGGTACCACAGAGGAAAGTTCATCAGAACAATTACCATGAAAGTCTTTATAGAAAATGCATAGGGAAGTATGTTATGGCAGTGGGGAAAGTGACTGAAGCCAAGATGCCAGGTCAAGACAAATAATATCAAAGATTATTCTTTGGATTTCATCAAGACACCAAAAAGTCTCAACAAGAAATGTGCATTTCTTCAAAAGGGCAATTTGGCCTTACTGTAAGGCCCTCCAATGCCTAATGATAAGACTTGCTGAGCTAAGAGGTGGTTTGCCCACAAAAGATGGAATATAGGTTAGAAACGAGAAATTTTCATAAGACTTGATGATTTTGATGATGTTAATTTCACTGTTTGTTAATAAACAGATATCTATGAAAACACATGTACCCACTAAAATAATGTTCACAGTAATAAGAAGTACCCTTGGATTGAAAATAAAATCCATTGCTTAAATAACTTTATTTATTTCTGTGTAAAGTTTCTGGGGTGAGGAGATATCATTAATTACACTATTCACATGTAGACTATTGTCCTCATCTTTGTGTCCTGGCCTTCATTGGGTAACCTACAGTGAATTTTGAATTGAAACCGTTATTTAATCTACGGAGATAGACTGTTCTCGTTCCTCTGGCCATGTCTAGGAATATCTTATCTACTACCTTTTCATTATTACAGCACTTAGATAAAAAGGAAATATTGATTTCAAACCAGAATAAAAGAGTCACCTTCAAACTGCAAGTGTAAAACTTGCAAAATTTTTCCAAAATGGACATGTTTGTTTATTAAATACAGACAGAACAATTGTTCAACAATACATTAACAACCATATTTTTCATTATTAAATAGTTTTATCTTGAACAAAGAGATAAAATGCTACTTGAACACAAACAGGAAATTCAAACATTACATTATCAAGCAGATGACTGTATTGAAAGTAACATTATTAGAATACACCTGCATAAAAAAAAATGACCACATGAGTGAGAAGTGGTAATGATAATATTAACTGTTTCCTTATTAGGAAACATTCGGTATTCATTTACAGAACAGCCAATATTACTTTCAGTTAAAATTTATCAAATTTTTTTATTAAAGCAATTTTCAGGAAATTGGGTTTCTCAAGTCCAGTTATTTTTATTACTTTTTCCAGTACTGATAATTGTTTCCATCCTAACCTTTGGTTTAAAGTAGTGTGGAACATCAACATCTTGATTATGTCATTATTTTCTCTTTGAGTTACATGTGATATCCATTTTAATTGTCTCCGTTGTTGAAAGTCCTCAAGTGATGTGGTTTCTATTATCTGGTACAATTCTTTCTTTGTGATTCTGGGGCCAGTCCACAAGGTTTGAAGGATAGTCTTTGTCAAGACACTCAAACTCCACTGACTCAAAGCCACTTTTAACCACTGATTTTAAGAAATGGCTGTATACAGCTGAAAGTTTAGATATTTCTGGATAGATCTGGCACCATGCATGGCATCCATGAAAATCTCGATCTGACAAGGTTATGAAAATGACTGCAGTTCTTAGGTTAATGTTTTCGTTTTGCAGAAACTCACTGTATTGTGTAAAACTATCCTTAGTGAAACCAATTCTATGTTCAATTTCTTTATTTCCAATACTAAATTTATAACTTATATAAGGCTACAAGGCATTTTTTTTTAAATCCAGATTCAAGAATGTTAATTATGAGACAATCTCCTTTTAAATGATGCATTTTAATTTCAAAATTCTTGCCTGCATGTGAGTGTATAATTAGCTTTTCTCTGAAATGTCTTTCCAAAAATATCTTAATAGTTCATACAATTTTATTTGCAAAGAGACAAGTGGAATTTCCTTCATGACCACACAATCTTGATGATTATTTTATGCAGAGACATTTTTTTTAAGGTACGATATCATGCAGTAAGTTTATAACAAAATTGTGGTAGCTGGATTCATTATGTGGTAAAATAATCAAATTCGATAGTAAACCATGTGGTAAAACTTGATTTTGATTATTTCATGAAAAAATATTGTCTTACTTTGAGTAAAAGGATAAAAAAAATAAATAAATAAAAGTTGTTATTTAACGTACATGGCTACTACTGTCATATAGTCCTGTCTGTCTCCTACTCCAGAGTTAATCCCTGGCATTAACCCAGTTGTCAATATCAAGTAAACTAAGAGACAATAACCTAGTGGATTAAATTACTGGTTTGTGAATTTGGCAGCATAGTAATTATGAGCTCAATCCCTAGTCTGGTAGTATAAAATTTAGACTCAGTGGAAACAGAGTAAGCAAATAACAGGGCAGTACCAAGTAAGATGAGCTATTCCTAGACAGCAGAATGAGAATAATTCCCTGAAGGTTACTTGGATTAACAGACATCTGAAGAAGGCTGGAAAGCACATTGGCCAAAATGTTGTAATAATAACAAAGATGAGGATATTAGCTCAAATGTAAATAAAAATAATGATTTTTATTTTTGAGGGATGGACAAGTTGCTATACTCCACAATCCTTGGATTAAACTAATTAAAACTACCTCTAGTCTTAATGTAATATGTGACACTCAACCACAAAAACATACAAAATAATTCAAAAATACCAAAACAATAATTTAAGATTTGTTATGTCCAGTCACACAGATAATAAACTAATTAAAAAAAAAAAATCATCTACTTATGAATAGTAATTACCAATGTATAATGCCAGTTCCCCCTCCTCCCCTGCCTATACAAGATTTTCAACTCCTAAAGGGAAAAAAAAAAAAAAAAAAAAAGCTTCTCTGAAGTTTTCTTCACATGTAAGGATCATGTATTAAATTGACATTGTAAGGATCATATATGACAACAGAAACTAGAGAATCATTTGCAACAACAATGCTTGAACTACCAGAGAGATTTGGGAGCTTTTCTGTGGATGAAGAAACTGGAAGACAAACATCATCTACAACAGTTTACAATTTGTTTTTTCTATTGTTCACTCAATACTGGGCCCAAGAGTCACTCATGGTAGAGAGTTACTAAATGAGATTGCAGTAAATGCTGAAGGAGAGATGAAACAATGAAAGATTTTATTATGAGGATATTATAGGATAGATATTAGTTGACCCTAGATTTGAAGAGGTTAAGATTGTAGTGTTCAGTGAAGTATTCTCTAGGGAGTCTGTTCCACAAAGTGACAGTTCTAGGGAAGAAACTATCCAAGTGGAGTGTCCTCCTTATAATACAAAAGGGAGTAGGAATAATTCAACCCTGTGCACAGGGTGTAGCAATGCCTAGCTGAAAAAGGTCTGAATTTGTAAGGAAAGTGGCTTGTTTAATCAATAATAATAAGTAATAGAGTTTTAAGAGGTAGTAATGTTTTATCTGTGGGAATGAAGTTGCAAGGTGGAAAATAATTAATTAACAACACCCCGTAATTGCTTTTGAATTTTCTCAAGACTGGAGTTTAAATACTATTACACAGCCTTGTGGGTGATGAATAATTTTTTACCCTGAACTTGATAATTCATCACACACACACATATATATATATATATATATATATATATATATATATATATAGGTACCTCAAAATTTTGATAAAAAAAAAAAAGAAAAAAAAAAAAAGAAATCGAAAGGGAGGATATACAGAATGAAAAAAATGCACAAAACATAAAAACAAAAATTTATGGTCAAAACTTTTGTGCTGTTATGGAGATGAAAGATCAAATGATTTTTTTTTTTGCATAAAAATTTTTTTCTTTTTTATTATTTGGAAATTTTGGTTAAAAAACTTGTTTTTCCTTGTGTCAGTGAGTGACGCCATAAATTTATTTGGGGAATTTTAGACTCTTTTTGTGGTAAAAAAAAAATAATACCGATTTACAAAAATTAAATAATTGCCGGATTTTAATAAAACATTCAAGACTTATTCACAAATGAATTAAATTATTTTTTAAAGGTTTCTGTAGAAGTTTTGTAGAAATATTTTTTTCCATCTGTTACTCCCTACTCATTTAATTTTATGAAATTAAAGAAATTCTTTTTTGTAGTGCTTTACATTTAATATTAGTTATGACAGCAAATTCTTTTGGTCAAACAGGACCCCCACTTGGAGGAAATCTGCTTTTAATTGCTTTTATAAATAAAACATATTATGGACACTTATCCTATGAAACATTTTTTTTTTTGATGAATAATGAATTTTTACTAGAATTGTTTTCATTTTTAAAAATTTTAATTAGAATAATTCATAAACTTTTAAAATTATGGTGGAGTAATGGATAGCAGCTTGGATTAAGGAATTGGAGAGCCGAGTTTGAATTCCAGTCAAATTCATTACATTCATTTATGTGCTAATACCCTTGGGAAAGGGTATGAATCCTCTACTTCTCCCCCAGCTATGGGTAAATAGCAGGACAGTCTGGGTTTTATAGCCTTGGATGGCAAATGGTCTACCACAGAAAGAAATGGCAACCTACTGTGGGGAAAAAAAATCTACCATGTTAGTCATGTATCAAAAGATACATGATTGCCTAAGCATGTATCACGCATGGCACATAACTGAACTGATTTGTATTGGTCAACTGACAGTTATTAAATTAACACTGTACTTACTAATCATAAATGGAAAAGTTCACTACATTTCAATGAGTCCCAGTATTTTAAAAAAGAATTTTGTGTGTTTATTTTGTCCATACACAACATTATCAGAAAATAACAGCAGCAACTATAATAAATTTATAATTTATTGAGAATTTAACATTTTCTCAAAAATAATCTTTGTAAGTAAGTCTATAAAAAGCCAAAGTACCAAAAATTTATTAGAATATTAGAATCTTTAAAATATTTTTTTTCAGATTACTGGGTAGTTAACAAATTATATATATAAAAAAAAAGCGTTTACATTGTATTTGTCATGTAATTTTATTTCACTTATCTCCTCCTTATTTAAATTTACCCAACATCAGGCTGTCAAGAAATCTGTCAACACCTCATAAAACCACCCACCTCTGGGTTAAAAAAATGCTTTTCTGCAACATTATAAACTAAAAATAAGTAATATGTGTTTTAATTAAGATTAATTAAACTTTAAATCAGTTAATCTTCCTCAAATAAAATTTCAGAAAAGTGTATTTTTTTTAAAGATTTTTTTTAATAAAAAGAATAATTTTATGTTTGCAAAAAAAAAAAAAAAATCATTCCAACCAATTTAAATTCAGTTTGAAGTACAGCAAAGTATTTTGCTTATTGGAAATAATAAATTTAATCTATTACCTTGAAATTAAAACTAAAATAAAAGCTTCAAGACAAGATTTTTTTTTAAAATGCATTTTAAACTATAGGGGTCACTTTTGTGGGGCTGTACCTACTAGACAGTTATTATTACCAAATCTTTTCAAGACAACCATGACAGAGCTATTCTCTTCAATGTTTTGGAGTAAAAACCTCTCAATCTCGTAATTCTATTTTGTCTGATTCTTCCCATTGCATTCAGATTCCTTCAAGAGATTTTTTAGACTAAAGAACTAAAAGTTACCAACTCAAAACCAAAAAGCTAAGAAGAGTAAAGAAACAAGGCACTAAATTGAGGAGTCAAATAAGTATTCATGGTTTTTTTATCTACTGATGAAAAATTAAAACGGGGCCCTGATCAGTACTAAGCTCAACAGATTAACATAAAGATTAAAATAAGATTAATTTGGAAAAGAAAGAGAGCAAAGTTGATATTTTCCCATCGATTATTTCATCATACTCATTCAACCGCATGACAGGACTGACAAAATTCCAACATTTAGTATTTTTCCTTAAAAAAAAAAAAAAATATCAATGCAGTCTGATTGAAAACTATAAAAGAAAAAAATTAAATTTAGATACCGCCAACAATTCACTAAAAAAAAAAAAAAAAAAAAAAAAAAAATGAGCGTAAATGAAGAAAAGATGCCCAAAACTTAATAAATCTGTGTTATTAAGATGAAAGACCAAAGGATATTTTGATGTAGAAATTAATTTTTTAAATCCCTTTTAGTTTTTAGAAACCTCAAAATTTTCTGCTATTTTTCTGGCATCAAATGGGGACCATAAATTAGCATGGGAAACTTGAGTGAAAAAAGACATTGATTTGAAAATTCTTACAAAAATCAGATAATTGTTGAATTTTAATTAAACTTTCAGGACTTATTTAGAAATTAATAAATTTATTTTAAAAATGTTCCTTCTTTATAAAATGCTGATAAAAATATTTTTTTTTTACATTATTCAATTAGAATAAAATACATACTATTATTTCATGAAAAAAGTTTTCATTGAATGAATTTTTAAAAGAATTATTTTTTTTAATTTTAATTAGAACTTTTCAATCTTTTAAAATTCTGTATTAATTTGTAGCGGTTAAGAAGTGATAGTTATTAAAACTTATTAAATAAAAACAATATTTATTTACTAACCATAAACAAGAAAGCTTACTTAAATTCATTTTTAACCCCAGTATTTTTTTTTTTTTAAAAAAAAAAAATGAAAAAATAAAAAATATTGAATTTTTTTTTGTGCGCGTGCGTGTGTATATAAACATGCCGATTTTTGTAAATACGGACGTCCGTACACGACATATCAAAAAATGACAGCAGTAAGTAAGTAGTACTGTAAGTTAAATAAAATTCATTGGTAATTTTATAACATTTCCTTAAAAAGCGTCTCCTAAGTACTTTTTTATAACAATTATTACCTCTTTAGATGAATTTCTCAAACATCATGTTGTCAATATCAACACCTCATTAAAACACCCATTTATGTTAAAAATGCTTTTCTCTGCGATATTTTTTAAACTACTAAAAAAAGTAAAACTAAAACTAATGTTTCAATCCAAATTAAACCTTCTTAAATCAGATAATTTTTCAGAAGAGTGTATTTTATTTATGAAAGATTTTTATTTAATAAAGAGAATTAGGTTGTGTTGACAGATTTATCAATACGGGCGATTTTTTTTTTTTTTTTACTGATAAACAAAAAATTAATTCCAATCCAATAAATTCAATTTGAAATACAATATATTTTGCTTTTTGGAAATATTAAATTTAATCTATTCAAACTAAAATAAAAGCTTCAAGAAAAAATTTATTTTTTTTAGAAGCATTAACTTAGTTATCGCTTTTTCTTTTAAGGTACCTCAATAAATTGCACGCACTTTTAGTTTTAACGAATTTTGAGAAAACATTGAGATTATGAAAGTGACGTCAGTTCAAATGTGTAATAAATTATAACTGGTGTAAAAATCTCACCGGATCTGTAAAACAATATTACGAAAAATATTTACCGTGGTTTTAATCTTCGTTTTCGGTGCAAATATTATTTAGATGAAAAAGATTCTAACCATGTTGAACATCGACCGGAAACGACTAAATGGCATGCTGGGATTTGGGTAGACGAAAACGAAAATCCAAATTTCGGTTGGTAACGAAACGCAACATGATTTTTTTTTTTTTTTTTTTCTTTCCTTTAAACACCGAATTTAATTCTTAACATTAATTTAAAAAGATTAATATTTTATATTTATTTCACTTAAATTTACATTTCATATTGAATGTGCTTAATTATTTTAAGTTTAAAAAATGTTTTTCATTTTATATCGTTTCATTAAAAACTAAACATCAGCAAAGTGAGTTTCGCAACAAAATGGATGACAAAGCCGTTGATTCTGACAAAGATCAGGTAATATTTTGTTGAAAAGTGAAATATTTTGCAAGTAGTTGTTTGTCTGTGTATGACTATAATTAGTATTAATTACTAATGTTGTTCAAATATTGGACTTTTTCAAAGCAAAAACTAAAAGATAATGATGGAAAAGTATCTTACTTCAGTTGTTTATCTCCCGTAAAATAGCCCAAATTTTCAGTTTTCATTCATCTAAATAATTTAACGATTCATTCGTAATAATATCATGAACCGTTTTAAATTATGATTTAATTAAAACACTAAGTGTTGAGAAAACAACTCTGTTTAAATTTAGTGCTCTACTCTTGTGTTCTTGTAAAAGTTCTCTCTAATTCTCAATGTTTTCCGACATGTAGTTTGGGTCGAAGTAAAAGTAAATCCCACACAGTTTTTTTTGGTTTTGTTGTTTCTTTTCTATTTTTCCTAGTTTTTTCCCCTGTCTTCTAAAGTGACGTGTGAATCCTTTTTCTTTTTTCTTTTTTTTAAATAGATAATATCGCCGCTCTTAGACCAATTTACCTGAAGCGACACTCACTCGAATTTGATTCTGCTAAAATACTTTGAAAAATGACTCGATTTTAAAAAATAGTTTGTTTATATTTTCCTGTTCTGTAGGTTCTTAAATAAATAATTAAAAAAAAATAAAATAAAGTGATACTTAATGACCTAGATATTTCGTCCAATGTTTATTCATTTCATTTTTAAAAATGAAAAGTCTTTCTTGACCTTCTTAATCTTGAGGCTTTTAGAATTTTATTTATTTTAGTTTTAAATTCTAAGCTATCATGAAATCAAAACACATCTTTTTTTCTTTTTTTTTCTCTTTAAATTGATTGGAATGAGTTTTTCAGTACTGTAAAAAAAATCGTCCATGTTGACAAATCTGACAACATAGCATAATTCTCTTTGTCAAAATATCTGTTTCAGTTAAAAACCAATTTTAAATTGGTAAAATAAAGTTTTGGGAAGATCTTTGGCGTTTTCTTTTGTTTGATAACTTCAGTTTAAAACTTTTTCAATTTCTTTTGTTGTCCAGTATGATGATGAAGAGATTGAAGATGAATCACCGTTGGAAAAACGGAAAAAGATTTTCTCAAAAGAATGTAAGTTTTCTCTTTTGTGTTATGTGTTCCCAAACCATTTATTTATTGCTGTCAAACTCTCCACCTCGGTGGAGAAGAACCTGGACAAAGCTTTGCCGAAAGGCAAAGTTTAATCTGGGGAGGTAGACAGGCCCTGAACCAGTTTATGTGGGTTCGGAGTGAATACTTTTGGCCTACAGGCTTGGAGAGAACCCACAATAAACTGGCCATGTGCCACATATGACCCACGTGTGGGGGGGGGGCGTTAAATATAACAATGTGTATTAGTACCTCCACAAATTGACTGAAAAAAACAAAAAAAAATACAGCATAGCATGATGAAAGAAGGCCCCAAATTTAGTAAAAACAAAGTCTTATCAAAAATGTTAATTAAACGTAGTTTTATTAAATTTTTTAATCACAACTGAGATTTTGGTAATTTTGAAACATTATTTTAAACTGGACTTAAAAAAACTGCTTGTATAATTTGGATAATGGGAAGAAATGTAACAGTATCTGACCCTTTAAATGTTTTCTGGATGGTGACTTGTCTCTTGAAATAAAATCAAGTAGAAAGCAAAGTATGGTCACCAGCTTCAGATGAGATCCATTAGGATTCTACAAGTTTGGATTTATACATGATATTTAGTAAAACCTTCACCCTACTTAAAACATTACTTTTTATAAATTTGTCCAGATCATATTTGCAAATAGGTTATTTTGCAGTGTAACACCCACACTCAATTTACATTAAAAATTTCCAAAATACTTATATTTATGTGTAATTCTTTGTGCCCCATTCAAATTTGACTTGATGAAGTTGATAAAATCTACTGTTTTGGAGTTATCAACAGTAAAATTTGGGATTCAATCACGTCATTGGCAGCCATCATTACTAGCATTGTTTGCATAAATTTGCTGTAGAAAGCTAAACGTGGAACTGATCATTATTGTCTAAATTTGTCGCAATTACTGTGCATGCGAACTATTTACATAGACACACTCAGTTTGTGCAATGATACCTATACTGATAGCTATTCTGCAATAAATATATACAAACAACGACCGTAATGGCTGCCCACGACATGAATGAATTCAAAATTTCACTGTCAATAACTCCAAAATGGTAGATTTTATCAAGCTAGATTTGAATGGAGCATGTACAATTATACATAAATGTAAGTATTTTGGAGTGCGGGTGTTACACTGCAAATTAACCGCAAATATTTTGCTTTTATTTCTGCACTAAGAATCGATATTAATCTGTTGAGTCACCTAATTACTTAATTCTTTGCTCTTAAGTAAAGGCCCTTGAGTGTAAGTATCTTTTGTGACCATCTCTCTATCATTTCAGCTGTTTTATTCCAAAATACAGGTCGTCTCTATTTCACAGCTAGAATAAAAATAGTTATAATTAAGTATTTGTGCTCTTTCTTGTTTTCTTGTCCCCCGCCCTTTTTTTCATAAAAAATGTCAATTTTATGTTTTTTAAACAGTTTTTGCTGCTGTCCGGTGTATGATGTATGGATTTGGAGATGACCAAAATCCTTATACTGAATCGGTTGATCTGCTGGAAGATTTAGTAATTGAGTACATTACAGAAATGGTAAGTGTACGACATGGGATTGAGAGGGGACTCTCTCTCTCTTCTTTTCTAAGCAATCATGGCTCTCCACAGATTATCTGACTTGGAGTGGTTTCCTCTTGACTTCTTTATGGCTTTGAATTCAGTTGTACTTTTCCTAGTCTGGCCTTCACCCAAGACGAAAGAGTTTAGTCTACTCTGCTCTTTGACATCTATAGCTGTGAGAAGGAGAGAAATGGATTCATAACTTTTCCAAAGAGCATTTATGTGAAAATGCATGCAGCAAAATAGGAATCTGAACTTTGCTTGCGATTACACTTCATTTCAGATGTGTGTGAGTGTGTGTACATTGAGGTCAACACCCAGCAACAATTTACTTACCTATAATACATCACTGGCCAGCATATATATAAATTGTTGAGCCAAAACACATGGTCTGATGATTACATTTAAGCATGAAACACTGTTGCCGCTGGATGTTGGTCTATGTTCACTTACATATTTACGTATACTTTATCCCTGGTATTGAGCACTCTAACTCATAAATATATCTTACCTTAAAACTATATATTTATCATGTATGAGAAGATAAAGAACAAATAGAAAATATTTATCAATCTAACATGTTTCACTTTTATTAAAGTTTCATCAGAGATATCGAGAAAAAAGGAAATTCTGGTATTTTTACTTTTGTGTTGTTTGATTGGTCAGTCATGTACATTTGACTCTTTTAAACTAACATTAGTATGTTCCGAATTGAATATGTATACAATGGAACTTCAACCTATGAATATGATGCATTCCAGGAGTGAATTCGTAACTAGAAATTTTGTATGTTGAAGCAATTTTCCCCATTTAAAATAATAGAAATTAAATTGTTCCAAGCCAAAAAATATTGATATAAAAATTGTATTTTATGCAAAATTAAAGTACCTTTTTGAAGATTATACTAATAAAATGACGTAAATAAATATGTCACTGTGACTCTTTCCCAGGCTTTATCAACTAGATTTAAGCAATTTAGGACCACACTCCTCCCCCTTCTCTTGGACATGAGTAGAGGCTTACGCCTTGTTTCTTGTTTAGGAAGGGGTTCCCGCTACTCTCTCTCTCTCTGGCCTCTGTATCTCCAGTTGCCTTGATCTATCCACTACTCTTCTCCTCATCCTTTCTTCTATCACTCCTATCTGACCTTGCTCCAAATTTTCTGTAACACCTTGCGTCCTAGTGGCTTTCCGCCTTGCTTGGGGTGAAACGCTTTAAAAAAAAAAAAAAAAAAAAAAATTGATGTGATCCTTCAAAAATTCCAAAACACCTCTGAAACAAGACAGCTTTATCAGAGTTTGCAGTCTTTCCATGTCTCACTAAACTGTGGATGCTGGTTCTCTTTTTAAATTTTTCAAACCATCCTCAGCTTGCCTTAAATGCATTTTTGTCTTCAGAAGATGTGTCTGATATTTTTCTGATAAGATCCACATACAGTGCCCTTGCCTTTGCACAATGTAATATCTTCAGACACAGAATCACCTCGTAGTTGCCTCTCATTCATTCACATCAACAACAGCTTCTCAACATCTTCTAGGGCTTTTGGGGCGATGCTTTGTAATTATGTTAACTACCTTGGCTTCATAAAGCTTGTTTTTTTTTTTTTTTCTATCATGTTCTTTTGGATAGTGCAAATTGTTGATGCTGAACGTCCATATAGATTGACAAGGTCAGAAATACTTGTACCTTCTTTGTGCTTCTGAATGATCTCCATTTGTACAGATATTTTTCCCTCTTCTTAGTAACAACCAATTTCTTGGGTGACATCATGGACTACAAAAATTATCAAAAAATTGCCCACTAAAATTTAAAATTTATTGTACAGTAACTGTCTGAAAAAATGTAAAGGAACAAACTGCAGTGATGAAATGTACTGTGAAATCAACCTGAACTAGACGTGTAGTTTATTTTACTGCATAGTTTACGTGCTGTGCCTGCATTTCATACATTTTATTTTACTCTAATTAAACTTTATAATTTTTT